TTCGTTAAATCTATTAAAATTGTTGTTGGAAGAAAAACGTGTGTTTGTTTTTTAAAACCGTTTTTGGCTTTTGAAATGGATGCTTGAGATAATGACATGTGTTAATCCTTCAACCGTAGGATGGTTGACCAATAGTGACTCTTATGAAAGGCTCCTCTAGGGTTTCAGATGCATGACAATTCTTCCAAACTTTTCTTTATTTCTCTGGCTGCGAGACTTCTTCGTCTTCTCTCTAAAAAAAAAAAAAACGAAAAAGAAAAATCAAAACCCTCTTTTGATTTTTCTATAACTCTCAAAAGCAATGTTATTTTGGGTGTGATTTCTACTACTAGAGGGTTGTGTTCTTGTGTGAACTTTCGGTTTTGAAAGAAGGCTGTGATTTTTTATTGTGATCTTGTGTGGTTACGATCTGAGTGTCAAAAATACGTATTTCAACGCCTTGGTTTCGAGATTCATACTAGCAATGTGCTCTTGGAGACGGAAGCACTTGTGGTTCTTCCAAAGGCTTAAAGATCTATGGATTTTGGGTGTATTTTGCCTTATGACAAACTGTGTAGATCGTTCTTTAATTTCTGTCGAGTTCTAGTTTTGCTTCCAGATTCTTTACTGTCCAGTTTTATTATTTCAGTTTCAGTATGTGTTTCTTATAGTATCTTCTTGTAATTATTGCCTAATTTGTTGAACCTCCTCTTTACCTAAAAAAAAAAAAAAAACACATTACTTCTTAATGATGCTCTTTATTTCTATCCTAAAATCTTGATCATGGACAAGTGTAATTTAAAAAATCTTAAGATAGTAAATTAAATTCCAGTATTTAATTTGATTAATTAGTACTATTAATTAGGCAGTGACAGTCAGATAAGGTGACCCGCTTACTTGGCGACCCGCCAACCCGACAAGCTTCTTCTCTTTGATGGCTGGATCTTCTAACATTAGAACCTTGTCTCTGTCTCTAACCCCAACCATGTGCAAATATTCATTGTCTTCCCTTTCTTTCCCTTTGAATAATAGCCTTTGCTCTTTCGGTTCCAAATTTATTAACAATGACAATATCATCTTTAATTCGCCTGCAAATTTAGTAAAATACAAAGAAAAAATGAGTTAATACGACTTGAATACAACGACAATTTTTTCTATTTGATGGTCTTCACAACATCGAACATTCTATTCATTTATTTGTAAAATTATGAGCATGCTCAGCTAACTTTGATATATAAAGTAAAAGAACTTAACTTTTAAGTTTAGCCCAACATGCAAAATCAAATCTTCCTTTGACAAAATTGGAATTAATGGACCATGATGAATAGGAAATTGAGACTTACCAAAAGTTGAGGTTGCTTCGACTGATATGTCATGCCATTTGGAGACTGCAGAAACTCTAATTGTGATCATCACTTTGTCATCACTCTCTTTACAATCTCTTTTTTGAACAAGCATGCCTCCAGGACGTACTTCCCATTTGATCTCGTCGCCACCAGTTACTCCACATCCCTTTACAGTGGTGGTGGAGCCACTGTTGATCGCTCCACCCTTAGCAATGTTAGAGTTGCTTTTGGATAGCCTCTTCGACCTTAACTTGATCATTATTCGCTCTTTCTATTGCATCTCTCCCTTAGAACTCTAGCAAAAGGGGGAGAGGAGACGTTGGACTTAGTTACATATATAGTAGGATGGAGGTTGGATAAAGATAAAATTTAATCTTATATTAATAACTTCTAATAAAGTAAATAATATAGTGAAGCCTTAGGATTGTGACACATAGGGATAATTAATTAATATGGGCGAGTTTCTTGAGGCACATGGGGTTGGGGGTTCCTCAATCTTTGCTTAATTAGCGGGCCAAACACAATCACATCCTATGGTCGGTTCAATTCCAAAATTTATAATCAAGTTTAAAGTCAATGCTTTATATCAAATTTTTTGAATCTGGTTGTTTTTGCAAGAATGATCAATGATATAAGAATTCGATTGAATAAGTCGTTTCAATTAAAACAACTCACAATCGATATAAAAAATTAAAATTAGTTAAAGGGCACATTTAACTTGTGGGTTCACTTTACTTGACCATGGCTGTTGAACATTAAACGGAGCTATTGGAAAAGTTTTTTCCTTTAAACTTTGGGCGTTTTTCGAACATGAACTTGAATGTTGTAATCTCTATCTATTATAGTGGATTTGATTGGAGTTGACTCATGATTTTTTCCCCTCTAATTTAGAAGGGCTTTTCCACGGAAAAATTGTGTGTTCTTTCTTTATTGCTCTTTTGGTATTTAATTAGTTGTTTGTTTGGATTATGAATTTATTCTTGCAAGAGGAGAAATTGCCCATCAAGTGGTATCAGTGCTCAGGTTGTGTGGTATGGTTTTATTTGCGGGAGTAAATGGCAAATATTTCAAGTGCTATAATTGAATTATCGGCTTTAGATTATTCTATTTGAAAGTCCGTGATGGAGGATATCATTTATTGTAATACATGAAGCTATTGAAAGTGATAGTGCTAAGCCAAGCAGTATGAGCGATGTGACTGGAAGTAAATAAACAAGAAAGCCATTGGATATATTAAAACAATATATTGATCTTAATGTATTCCATTATATATCTTAAGAAACGGATGTCCATATGCTTTGGGAAAAACTAGAGTCTCCATAAGAGGAAGACTGCTCAAAATAAAGTTTCTACTATTAGAAAGCTTGTGAATATGAAGTTGGAGGAGGGGAAATTAGTTGTTAAGCATTTGAGTGAATTCCAAGACTTAGTAAATCAGTTGACCATAATGAAAGTAGTGCTAGATGATGAGATTTTTTGGTGTTATCATTTAGTAAATCTACTCTAAATGGGGTGCTTGAATTTACTCTTGTTAGAGACGGTTTGTTCAATGAAGATTGAAGAATTAAGAAAAAAAGATTTGGATAGAAATGATGCACAGGCTCTTATTATAGAGAGTAGATGAAAGAGTAAGAGCAAAGGTCCTAAAAGACGTAGTAACTTCAAAAGTTATTCAAAGCCAAGATGAATTGTTAGATTTTTTCATTGTGATAAAGAGGGTCATGAAAAGAAACATTGCATAGCTTGGAAAAAATTGAAAGAGGAGAAAAATTAGAAGAAGTCTGATCAAAATACAGTAACTAGCACTTCAGATGAGGAAGTAGTAGCAATTTTTTTGCTGAAGATGAGCAGTGTTTGTCATATCGCAGATTTATTTGTTGAAAGGGTTGTTGACTCAACAGCTGATTACCATGTTACTCCAAGACAGGAGCTCTTCACTTCATGCAAAGAAGGTAACTTTCGTAAGGTGATGATGGGCAATGAAGATTTTGCCAGCGTTGTGAGAATTGATGATATTTGCCTTCAAACAAATGTTGGATGCAGCTTGATGTTGATAAATATACGACATGTTCCATACATGCACTTGAATTTGCTATCTATAAATGCCTTTGATGAGGCGGGGTCTGACAATTATTTTTGGTAGCGGAAGATAGAAACTAACAAAAATGTCGATGGTATTTGCTAGAAGAAAGTTTTGTTGCACTTTACAAGACACAATTAAAATCATGTAGTGAAGCGGTGAATGTAATTGGAATTGACTCTTCATAGGCTTGTAGCACAAGCGGGTGGCTCACATGATCGAGAAAAGATTGCAGCGTTGGCAATGAAGTTCATCATTCCTTTTATCAAAGATAAATTCATTGTATTATTGTTTACTTAGTAAACAACATTGAGTTTTCTAGTAGAAAGTATAATATTTTAGATTTGATTTATTCAGATATTTGTAGTCCTACTGAGGTGGAGTTCTTAGATAGCAATAAGTATTTTCTTTCTTTTATTGATGGTGCTTCACGAAAGTTGTGGGTGTTTTATTTGAGATCAAAAGATAAGGTTTTTAGCATTTTGAGAAGCTTCATGCTATGGTGGAACGGGGGAAGTGGAAAGATTTGAAGTGCCTTCGAACTGACAATAGAAGAGAATACATGTCTAGAATGTTTGAAGATTACTGCTCAAAGCATGATATTAGACATGAGTAAGCTGTGCCTGATACCCTCCAGCACAATGGCGTGATAGAGAGAATGAACCGCACCATTGTGGAAAAGTTCAAAAGTATGTTAAGAATGGCTGGATTACTAAATCATTTTCGAGTGAAGCCTATTAGAAGGTTTGTTACCTAATCAATCGATCTCCATCAATTCCTTTAGATTTTGAGATTCCAAAAAAGGTGTGGATAGAAAAGAATTTATCTTATTCTCATTTGAAGATTTTTTAATGCAAAGTCTTTGCACGTGTACCTAAAGAACAATGGTTGAAATTAGATGATAAAGGTAGTGCTTACATTTTTATGGCTACTGAGATGCATAATTTGACTATAGACTACAGGACTTAAGAAGAAGAAAATAGTCAGATGTAGAGCTGTGATTTTTCATTAAAAACAGAAGCTGGCAGATTTCGAGAAATCTGGGAATCAAAGACGTGTTGTTGAGGGTGTCACTACCTTTACACCTATCTCTTTGCCTCCCAATGGTACCACTCAAGGGGTAGAGATGGACATTGATAGTCATGCTGATGAGCCAGTAGGGATCGATGATGATAATCTAAAGGATGTTGAGCAGGGGAACAACATACTACATCGAAACGTCAGGTTAGAAGATCTACTATGGAGCATCATCGATCAACCAGGTATCCTGTATCAAATTTTGCATTGGTAACTGATGAGGAGAAGCCAAGATGCTTTCAAGAGCTACAATCTCATACGGACAAACAGAGTTGGGTAAATGCTATGTAAGATGAGATGAATTCTTTGCAGAAGAATAACATTTATGAGTTAGCAAAACTTATTAAAGGCAAAAAGGCTTTGAAAAGTAAATGGGTGTTCAAGTTGAAGAAAAATGGGAAAAAGCTAGTGAAGTATAAAACTCGATTGGTGGTGAAGGGCTTTGGGTGGAAGAAAGGGATTGACTTCGATGAGATATTCTCTTATGTTGACAAAATGACTTCCTTTTGAGTGGTTTTGGGTTTAGTAGTTAGATTGGATCTTGAGCTTAAGCAGTTAGATGTAAAGATCGCCTTTCTCCATTGTAATTTGAAGGAAGAAATTTACATGGTTCGGCCAAAGGAATTTGAAGTAAGAGGAACAAAAGATGTGGTTTGCAGGTTAAAAAGAGTCTGTATGGGTTCAATTAGGCTCCAAGACATTATATAAGAAGTTTAATTCCTTTATGGTTATACCAAGACAAAAAAGCAGATCATTGTGTTTATGTTAGAAAATTCATTGTGGTAACTTTATCATCATTTTGCTATATGTAAATGATATGTTGATAGTGGGACAAGATGTTCAGTTAATTCGCAATTTGAAGGTAGATTTGTTTGAGTCATTTGACATGAAGGATCTTGGATTAGTAGGACAAATTTTGGAGATGCATATTCGTCGTAATAGGAAAGCTAGAAAGTTATGGTTATAACGGGAGAAAAGAAAAAGTGCTAGAAAGCTTTAACATGAAGAATGCTAAACTAATTGGGACACAACTTGGTAGTAACTTAAAATTGAGTAAGATGACTTTTCCTTCTATGAAGAAAGGTAAAGAAAGAATGACAGAAATTCCTTACTCCTCTACGGTTGGAAATTTGATGTATGTAATAGTTTGAACACGGTCAAACATTGCTCATGCACTTGGAGTGGTTAGCAGGTTTCTTGTTATTCCGGATAAAGATCATCGGGAGGCGATAAAATGAATTTTTAGATACTTGAGAGGTACTTCAAAGATGTGATTGACCTTTGGAAGTTCAAAATCAGTTTTCGAGAGCTTTACGGATGCTGATATATGTCATGTTTGAGCTCCATTATTTTCTCATTAAAATGAATAATATGATCGTTATTCATTATATCAAGCCACCACATTTGACTTTTTATCTCTTGTGTGACGCCTATAACGGCTATATTTTTCATTCTCATTTTTACAATAATGTAGCTCAAACAGGGGCATAGCTGGTGATCTTGATAATATAAAATCAACTTCTAGATAACTTGTCACTTATGCAGGGGGAGCTGTGTCGTGACAGTTAAAACTATAAAAATGTGTTGCTTTATCTACAATTAAGACTAAGTATATTGCAGCAACTGAAGCAATGAAAGGATTGTTTTGGAAGAAATGATTTCTTCAAGGTTTGGTTTTAAAGCAAGATGGATATGTAGTTAATTGCGATAGTCAAAGTGCGTTAGACCTAAGTAAGAATGCCACTTATCGTTCTCAAAAGAAGCACATCGATGTATCATTGGCTACGAGAAATAGTGACAAAACAATTGATATTATTAGAAAAGATTCTTATTGAAAATAATTCAAATGATAAGATGACAACGGTTGTGACCGGAGAAAAGCTTGAGCTTTATGTTAAATTGGCAGGCATGGGTTCTATCTAATTTGTTAGAAGATAATCCCCTTCCTTTGTGGGCTAGAGGTAGAGACTGTTATATGAGTTGGCTTCCAGCCCATGAGAAATTAAAGGCCCAATCCACTATTATATGATTGTAGGTCATATATAAAGCAAAATATAAGAAAACTGTGGTTGCAATATAGAGAGGGAAAAAATAAATAGAGACTGCGCTGCTACAAGAGAAAATAGAGACCTTGGCTACTAAACGTTAAATGGGGCCGTCGAAATTTTC